AGCCCCCGTCCCTGGGCCGCGACGAGAGCGCTACTTTCTAGTGCTTGTCGACGACTACACGTGCTACACCACGGTGTTTCCCCTAGCAATTGAGGTCCTAGCAAGGAAATTGAGGTGTACAATCAAGGTCCTAGCAAATGAGGAGCTACTGGAACTAGACCAAGCTGTACACAGTGTCGCTGATGATCTTTAGGTGCAAGTGCATTAGTAAAGATATCAGCTGTATTGGCACTGGAGGACAAGTGAACTACGCGGGCCTTGCATCGCTGCTGCAGCTCGCGCAAGAGGAAGTACCGCAGCTGGATGTGCTTCGCTCTGCCCTCCAGTTGAGGCTCCTGACACAGGAGGATCATGGCCCTATTGTCAGCATACAGGACCGGGGCAGAGCTAGGCCGCTCACCTAAGTCTGTGAGCAGGAACGTCAGCCAGCCGAGCTCCTGTGCCGCCATGGCACCTGCGTAGATCTCAGCCTCGCAGCTAGACTGTGCAACAGACGAGGAGCGGGTGGACCTCCACGAGACAGCGCCTGCACTAAGGCTAAAGCAGTAGCCCTGAGAGGACCAGAGCGTCTCTGCGTCGTCGGCCCACGAAGCGTCTGTGTGCCCTGTAAGGACCACTGGCCTTCGTCCTCCTAGCACTAGCCCCATGCCTGATGTACTCGCTAGATAATGCAAAACCCCCTCAGTTGCGGACCAGTGCTGTGGTCGGTGTCTACCTGTCACCACAAAGCGAGCCAGGATGCTGAGAGGGTATGCGAGATCTGAACGAACGAGGTCTTGCCAGCACGAACGAAGAGCGAGGGGTCTGTAGACGATGGGAAGATCTGCAGGTCGGCTAACGTAGCACGAAACGTGTCGTGCCACTCGCGCAGTGCCTCCCGCAGGCCGTAAACCGGGCGTAGGAGGAGCCACTAGGTCCCCCGGGCGAAGGTGCTCGTGAAGCCTGGCGGGCGACGCCGGTAGATATGCTCGTGCAGACTGCCCTGAAGAAATGCTGTCGAGAAGTCGAGAGAGTGCAGCTCGTAGTTACACTGAGCTGCTACTGTACGTGTAGCAGCGCTTGAAGAATGGTCATCTTCGGGGTCGGGGCGAAGGTCTGAAAAAAATCAACACCCTCGCGCTGACTGAAGCCTCTAGCAACGTAGAGCGCCTTGAACACATGCGGCTCTCCAGGAGGGCGCTTCACCTTGAATAGCCACCGGCCATCAACAACGTTCACCCCAGGAGGGGGAACAGCGTCGACGAAGGTGCGGTAGATCTCCAAGATGCCATCTCCTTCTCCATGGAAGCTATCCACTGAGAGGCCCAGGGTCCCGAGGTCGCTTCAGCGTAAGTGCGAGGTGTCGGGATGTCGAAGACGTTTGGGTCACCCTCATGGACTAGCAGCATGGAGCAGAGATGAGGCGCGGCCTCGGACAAGAAAGCAAGCTTGTACTGCCAGTCCTCCAGGACGTCACTGCCGAGGGCAGGAGCACCCCCGACGGACGGAGGACGGGCAGGGTCAGAGACCAGAGCGGTGGCGTAGTCAAGGCGTTGGGTCGAGGGAAAGTCAGTGACGGCAGCGACAAGAGCGTCAAGACTCGAGACAGGAACAGACAGGTCGGTAACGATGGAGGCAAGGACTCGAGGAACGAGAGGACTAATGGCACAAAGGTAGTCAGACAGAGGAGGCGGAATGACAACAAGCAACGACGGAGGAGGCGATGGGAGGAGGGGAGGACGAGACGCCCGGGAACAGAGCGACATAGGGTGAAAGCACAAAACAGGAGAGATAGGATGGGCACGAGAGGGACGGCGCGACCAGATGTGGGACGGATGCGTTGGGTTAGGAGAAACAAGAGGAGACACAGGAGGAGAACGAGGGGGGAAACGAGCCGGAGGCGAGTCCGGCAGCGGAAGCACACTGCCGTAGACAGGCAGGGGAGGCGGTTGCAGGGGAGGCGTGGGTGCGTGGTTAGGGGAGGGAAGACCGGAAGGCGAAGGGTGGACACCGGCGGCGACTGCTGCTACTGCTGCTGCTCCACGCCGACACCAGAACTTCCAGCTGCATAACGGCTTCCTCCTTGACTCTCCATGCCAACACCCCCAGGACGAGAACCCTCTCCAGCACCGGTGCCACCCCCAGGACAACCACAAGCCACGAAAGTAACCCCAGGACTAGCAACCCAAGAACCAGCACCCCCAGAACGAGTACCCTCCCTAGCACTGGTACCACCCCAGGACCGCCGGGACATGCCACGACAGTAACGCCAGGACTAGCACCCTAGTCAACGCCCGCACCCCCAGAGCTAGCGGACCCCTGCGGCGGCTGCTGCTGCGGGGGCAGCGACTGCGGCTGCTGCTGCGGCTGCGACGGTGGCGATGGCTGCTGCTGCAACGACGGCGAAGGAGGAGACACCGGGGCGGAGACAGGCGGCGAGAACGGTGCCATGGGGCCATCAGAGTCAGCCGACTCTGAAACCGGGACAACCGACGAGAGGGGAGTGACGTGAGACACACCAGACGGGGAAAGATGGGGAGGGAGAGGAGCAGGGGTTACCGGGGGAGCGGGAACCAAAAAGAGAGGCGGGGAAATCGGGAGACCTCGGTGGGGAAAGTTGTGGTAGAAGGAGACAGACTCATCAGAAGTGACGTCACGCGAGTAAAAGAAGCGGTGAGACGGCGGGTGGTAAAAGTGCCAATCAGACGAGTCGAGGGGGAAATCGAGGAAGACACAGGGGATAGTGCGGGCAGTGAGCTTGTCCGTGCCAGAGGCACGAACGTGAGCGAGGCAGCCCCAAACGTGAAGCGCGGACGCGTCACCAGGGAACCCGGCCCGGAGAAGGATCAGCGAAACCTGCGGCCGTTGGGAGTGCAGTCACAGGTTAAGCTGGTGAGTGGCGTAGCGAACAGCGAACGGGCACAGAAAATGGGGTACACCGTATGGATAATGGAGGTACGAGCCACGTCCGTGACCAAACCGATGCGTATCTCAGCGACCCCATTCTGCTGCGGGGAGTCCGACAGGGTGTACGACTGGGTGATGCACTCCACATGACAGAACTGGCCAAGATCGGAGACGAACTCGCCGCCACGGTCGGCGTGGAGACGCAGCGCTGGGAGGCCGCGGTGAACTCGCGCAGCTACGACCCAGGGGATAAGAACGTCAGGCACATCGGCCTTCCGCTCCAGGGGAAACACCGTTGTGTAGCACGTGTAGTCGTTGACTAGCACTAGAAAGTAGCGCTCACGACACGGCCCAGGGACGGCGGCTGGGCCACAGACGTCCAGGTGCAGGGTCAAGAGTCGCGCAGTGGTAGGGGGAAGCGAGGAGGAGTGAGGAGCATGGCGCAGCCGGCCCTCAATACAAGGCGTGCACGGTGGCGCAGGCGAGGGAGGAAGGGCAGGGAGCGACGCAGGGAGACCGAAAACAAGACCGTAATGGGACATGTGACGCAGACGCGGAAGTGCGGGGTGACCTAGGCGGTGGTGCCACAGCAGCGACGGGACAGTGAGCGACCGACTCGAGCAAGCCGCAGCGATTTGGGTCGACGCAGCCACCTGGGGGGACACCCTTACCGAGGGAACGCAGTGTCAAGCGTAAACAGGCCAGACACAGGGTCTCGGGGGAACGTGGTCAGAGGAGCACCAGTGGCGGCCTCGGTACAGACTGCGTACCGCTCGTGACCAGGGAACGTAATGGTGACGCCGAGGTCCTGAAGAGAGCCGACACCAACTAGGTTCCTGGAGAACGAGGGGATGTGCATGCCTATAAGAGAACCCCAGGGGACCGCCGGACAGGGAAGGGTGGTGGAGCTAAGGGCAACTACCGGACGTGAGGAGGGGTTAGCAAGTGTGATAGCGGCAGGGGTGGCAAGAGGAGTGAGCGAAGTGTGGTCGCGGAAGAAGTAGGCAGACGCTCCAGAGTCGAGCGTGAAGGAGAGCGAAGCAGTAGCCTCCGCCGGCGGAGGGGCTAGCATGGAGCCTAGGCTAAACTAGGTAGGGGGTCCTACGCCTGACGCAGCAGGGGAACCTAGACTACACACAGGGGACACACCTACGCTAGGCAACACCGAGTAATAGGGTCCATTCACACTGGATTCATCAGCATACATGGCATACTAAGCAGACCTAATCTGATCCATGTCCATCTCAAATAAAGGCACACGACGACGCACCAGGCTGTGCCAGTCGGGGGGTTCCACCGTGGGGCCGAAGCGGAGACGGAAGAGGTCGTCGAGGCGGCGGTAGCAGTGTGCTGCGGTGTGACCGGGGCGGTCACGGACGGTGCCGCGGCGGGGGCCGGACTGAAGCTGGTACTGGCAGGTGACCACACTAGAACCGCCACTCGACACCGAGCTGCGCCCGCCACCACCACCAGAACCGCCAATCCATCACGGCGGCGGGGGCGCCCACGGCGACTGCTGCTGCTGCTGTGACGGCTGCTACTCCTGCTAAGGCTGCTACTGCTGCTGCTGATGATGATGATGATGAGGCTGCTGCTCCGGGGCACCAGCCGCGGTCCCCTCGTCTGCACCACCGTCCCCTCCACCACCTCCGCCACCTCCGCCACCCCCGCCACCCCCACGATGTCGAGGGGGAAAACAAAATACAGCAGAGTACGACAGTGCACTTTGTTTGGGAAAAACAATATCACATACGCATGTTCCACAACACCCGGGCGTTATACAAAATTAGCCTCTAATTACACCCTCCTCAAAATTTAGAGGCATGTTGGTTACCACCCTAGGGTGCTTTATACAGGGGAATACGGTATCTCTCATTCTAGTCATTCATTCTCACTTTGATACCAAATGCCAAGTGAGGGTCCACTTGAAAATGCCAGGGGGGAGGCTGGTCGCCAACGTGGTCGTTGGGCTAGGCTCAGCGACGTGGGTGGTGTTGTCGTGCGGACACGCTTGGTTGTCGTCGACAGAGTGGCATCGCCGCGCGCCAATGACTGTCCTCGTTCCTTGTCACCTCAGTTTTTGTGTGTTCACATTCTGTTCAGAGCCAAAAGGCCGAAACTTTTTCTGCCTGTGAAAAATATATCACTTTCAAGTGAGCCCCTGCTTTGTGTTTTTAGCCACGGGCTTTAACATGCGGAGCGGATGCCTACTGCAGCAAACAGCAGGGACATAGTCAGCATCATGCCAACCAGCATTGCTGCGATCAGCAGCACGTGTCAGGGTCAACTATGACATCCAGGATTGTAACAGGTGTTCGCGGGCGATCACTGGAATCCGTTGCAACATTCTCTATGGCCTGATTGCATGCAGCAACAAACACATGTGCAGGCAGACACATATACACACATGCGCACATGCATGCATGCACACATACACATGCAGCCGAAACCAGCATGGCATGCATGCACACGTGCACAGAAATGCATGATCACGTCAGTGTACATGCAGTGTGTGCAGAAGCACTTGCACCCACAGAAACTGCATGAGGAAAGGGAATGAAGATAGCTAAATGATGCAGGGGAAGGAAGCGAGCAAGCACAGAGACCAACAGAGCTGGAAGTGAGGGAGCCGGGGTTGGTGGGAAGGGGCAAGTGGCCGTAGAGGGATGCGTGTTTGGGGGGAGGCGGGAGAAGGGCGCGTGGGGAAGCGGGGGGGAGGAGCACCGCACCTGAACCACATCCTTGCCCTTGATGACCGACCCAAACACGGTGTGATGGCCATTGAGGTGCGGCGTGGCAACTGTGGTGATAAAGAACTGGCTGCCGTTGGAGTCAGGCCCGGCGTTCGCCATGGACAGAGTGAACGGCTCGTGCTGCAGGTGCGGCCGAACCTCGTCCTCGAACGAGCCTCCCCAGATGGACTCGCCCCCCCGCCCCGTGCCGGTGGGGTCCCCGCCTTGAATCATGAAGCCCCGGATCACGCGGTGGAAAATGATGCCCTTGTAGTACTTGTTCTTGCTGGGGGGGGGGGGGAAGGAGGGGTGAGAATGGGTTAAGAAAAGGGGAGTCGAGAAGGAGGTAAGAAAACGGGAGGTGATGGAAGGACGGGAGGAGGGTGCGGGAAATTAGAATTTCCCTGCTTGAGAATGTTGAGTATGCGTGGCCCTGAATGACCTCCTGTTTCATGTCGGCATGTTTCGGAGGTAAGATGCGCCGTTGATTGTATTGCGCTGCTGGACCGCGTGAGACGGGCAAGGCAGTAAAGAAAATGCAAGAGTAGGAAAGGGGGGTGTTGGACATATGGAGGGAATGGATGAGGAGGCATCAATCCAGAGGAAACAAGAGCTGCATCACAGCTGGGCTCATGGGCTGATGTGACTAGATGAAGATGAGGCAATGTGCTGCCTCCAAGCACAAACACTGGCACCTCATGTGCCTATGGATTGACATGGCACCTGTGAGTGAGGGAGCACCTGTGAGTGAGAAAGTTTTCGACGGTTTTGGGGCAGTCATCCGCGTACAGCTCCACCACGATGTCCCCTAACGATGTCTTTAACAGCTGCAGGTCGGCAGGGGAAGAACACAGGTACCGGGTCACAGCACACATACGGGCAGGGGAAGAACAGGAGAGCAACTCCCAAGTGAGCACGGTTACAAAATGAAGTAGGCATTGAAAATACCCAATCACAGCACCAGAAAAACCAAGAACCAAAAATCGACGCAAGAAGCGAGGCATGTGGATTACCACTAGCGCTGTGCTGCAGCTAGTCCCACGCCTGTGACCCAGTGAACTTTGAGTCTGACTCAAAAGTCCCACGCCCGTGAGCCACCCACCCACCCACCACTTTGGGCAGCTTCTTTCCAATCTCTTCTGGCTTCCCTGCGTCTGTCTCTGACAGCTGCTTGCGAGATGACTGGGTGTGCGTGAACGCAAATGAAGTTGGGAGAGGGGGGGGGCAGGCAGGGCGAAAGGGAGCCAAAAAGAAAGAGGGGGGGGGGGAAGTGAGTGAGTGACTATGTGTGGGAAGGAGAGAGGGGAGGCGGGGGGAGGGAATGATGCAAGGGTGGGAGCATAATCTTATGAAGCTGTACCAACGTGTGAAGCCTCAGATGGTAGCTAGCGAGGGGAGAAGGGAGATCCGACCTGAGACTCAGAAGAGGCGGTGGAGGCAGCTGACGGCCTGATTGAGCAAGATAAGAGACGGCGAGCGAGGGGAGAAGGGAGGGAGGAGGGGAGTGAGAGGAGGTTGAGGGGAGCAGTGACGAAATAGGAGGAGAGAGGAAATATGAAAGGAAGAAGTATAAAAGGGCGAGGGCAGAGCGATTGTTGTCAGGCGCGAGGGAAGAGGAGATCAAAGTTGGAGAAATAGCATAAGTGGATGCAATATGTAACTCATCACGGTTAAATCAATAGATATAAAGAAGAAGGTGGGGGGGGGGGGGGGGGAAGGGCAAGGAAGGAAGGGGGGGAGGTGAAGGGGGGAAACTCAGAACCCACTATGGAAGGAGCGATGCAAAAGTCGCCGCAACTCACGAGGCCGAAGATTTTCGCAAAAAGAGAATCGCCCCGAGCAGCAGAAGCGTCAGCGCGACGCACCCCATAACGGGTACTGACGGCTTGCTGGTGGCATCGTTCCGCTGCCCCTTGGCACGCTGCAGCAGCGCGGACGGACGCACTTTGCCCATGATCGCGACCCCACAAAGGTCAAGACCGTCGCCTGACGAGGATCCCGGATCTCAACCGAAACACGCTTTTACGGCCAAAAAAGTGACTCGGAATAAGTGCAACGAACGGCAGTCTGCGGTGCGGGCAGAGTAACAGTGATGGCGGCACGAGACGGGCTGATGAAGCAGGAAACGGACGATTATCAAGACCCGGGAAATAGTGGCGCAGCAGAGAGCGATGGAGCCGCAGGGAAGTGAAGACGGCAGTTCAAGTCTAGTCTTATGAGGCTTGCCTGCCACGTGCAGATGAGGTCGCGTGCTGGAGGGGGAAGCAGTAGGACGGGGTGCGATGTGAGGATGTTTTGCACGGTGGATAGATTTGTGCTCTAATCAACAACAACAAATGAATACTAAACCCCTACAAAAGTAGTGAATCATCAACTACGGGCTTGATATTAATGTACAGTAAGAGGAGACTGAATTAGTTATCTCTGCTCAGAAGAGACAAAAAAAAACTAAAAATATGTATCAGAACTCAGTCACTAACCACTGCGTTAAAATGACTTCTTAAGTAACCGGTAAGTGCGTATCAGAATGACTGAGGGAATGTTAAAATTATATAAGTTATAATTTAATATAGGCTTGGTAGGTTGTTACTGAACCTTTCTGTAGAGGGTACAAACCCCTCCTTGTACTCCTCTCTCTTCCTAATCGAAACTCTTCTTTCTCGTCAACTTCTCTCCCCCGCTCCTAGATCTACTTTCCTCACGCCATTCCATGGCGTCCTTCCTGGGTTCCTAGCTAAGCTAGGTTCCTAAGCTTAGTTAGTGTCCTAAGCTTCTTTGATATGGTATCAGAGCAGGAGATCCTTCCTGCTGGACCGCCTACTCACGCTTCTCGCGTTGCCATGGCGCTCGTGTCGTGCCGCGGCTGCCTCGACGCACTGCTGTGGCGTCGCGCTGTCGTGCCGTCGCTTCCGCCGCGCATTTCTCTCGTCACTGCCTTCCCGCCGTGGCGGCCATGCCGGCCTGTCATGGCGGCTTCGTCGTGCGGCCGTCGCCTCCTCGACGCCCTGCCGTGGTGGCGTCGACACTTTGCCGTGGCAGCGTCACCTTGCTGCCGTTGCAGCGTCGGCGTGCCACCACAGCGTCGACGCCGCGCTCTGGCGGCGTCGTCATGCTGCCGCGGCAACGTCGATGGGCGGCAGCGGGCAGCACGCCGTCGTAACCGCCACCTGCCCGCCCTCCTGCCAGTAAGCGCCGCGCCACTTATGGCGCGTCGCTGAAGACTCGCCTCGCCCCGCCCCCTCCCCTCCCCCCCCCACCTGCACCTGCTTCCCCTGCATCCCCCCCTTTCTTGCTGCAGCCGATGACTGCCTCATGAGGGCCCTCTCCACCGCCGAGGAGACTGGACATGCCGCCGAGAGGGCGGGGGCAGCTGCACTGGCCTCTGACGTTCAAGCCGCCGCCGCAGCCGCTGTTGCCGCGGGCCTGGTGTCGCCGCACGCCGCCGACGCCGCTGTTGCCGCGGGCCTGGTGCCGCCGCACGCCGCTGCCGCCGCCGCTGTCGTCACTGTCGCCGCTGCCGCCATTGCCATCTCACGGGCCGTGGGAGCTGCCCTTTTCCGGAGTCGTTGCGGCTCCTGCTGGGAATGGGGGTGCTGGGCTAGGGGGTGTGGGTGTGGGTGTGGGTGTGGGGGTGTGCGTGGGCTTGACACTACCAAGCCTAGGGGGTGTGTTAAAATTATATAAGTTATAATTTAATATAGGCTTGGTAGGTTGTTACTGAACCTTTCTGTAGAGGGTACAAACCCCTCCTTGTACTCCTCTCTCTTCCTAATCGAAACTCTTCTTTCTCGTCAACTTCTCTCCCCCGCTCCTAGATCTACTTTCCTCACGCCATTCCATGGCGTCCTTCCTTGGTTCCTAGCTAAGCTAGGTTCCTAAGTTTAGTTAGTGTCCTAAGCTTCTTTGATAGGGAATACAAGGTGATACATCTTAATGTAGTGAAGTAACTGAAAATGACTTCTTAAGTAACCGGTAAGTGCGTATCAGAATGACAAAGTGAGGGAATACAAGGTGATACATCTTAATGTAGTGAAGTAACTGAAAACAAGGCATACATGGGAGATATACTGATGTTGGGTTGTGTTGTGATATGATTCATACTTAGCAAGTCTATAAGTCGATTATCGATAGATGGTGTCGAATCCTACTATAGAAGAGAAGTCCGTAGGATGACGTCAACAAATAGCGCTCGTCATAAGGATAGTCGTTTCAGTCACGCGAACAGTCGCGTCTCTTCAGTGTCATTTAGGGTGCATAGCGCGATAGTGTTGAACAGGTACATTAGCGAACAGGTACTTCTGTTAGGTATAAAGTAGCATGTCTTCATTGTTTAGTTAATGTGGTTCTGAACTTGATTTTGAACTTGTTCTCAAAACCACATGCTAGAATAGCAAAGGGGGGGGCACACTTGAAAATTGAGTATTTTGGGGGATAGAGAAATGAACCCAATTTGAAATGGTACACCCCCGACGTGAAAAACAAATGCTGCGATTTTGCAGTGCGCAAACCATTGGCTAACGGAACAATGCAGTCGTAACTCCCTTGGCAAACACGCTGCGACAATCTCGAGGGTCGCAAGGCTCAACCAAAACAAAGTCCATGCGAACACTCGTCATCAGGGTAGAATTTCAAGGGAGCCCCAGGTGTGCTATTGCTTTTCAGACGTAGGAGACCTGACACCTACGCTAGCTTAGCGCAGCTCCCCAGCCCTTAACCCGGTCTAAAAAAATAATCTGGCGTGCGGACGGGAAAGAGCACCTCCCCGTGTGTGAACGACCCTTCAGTTCCGACAGAAAACACTGTATTGTGCAGTAGCGATGGCAGGAAGCGGTGGAAAGGATGCAAGCAAGCTCAACGTAGATAATCGTCCGCCGCAGCTTGGCGAAAAACATTGGGCGGTGTGCCACTGGTGTTTGCGAGACGGTCAGCTACTTGTCGGCGAGATCGCACGGCTGTTTTGCTGCTGTTCGGGAAGCATAGCGAGTCCGCTATCAACCTTGGTGTAGTCAGGCGACGGGGGAAAAGTGGAGAAAGTATGGGGAAAAGACAGGGAGGGATGCGGGTAAGAGGTAAGCAGAATGGGGGAAACATGCGTGGGTGGACGTGATGGGGGGAATGGGAGCGCTGTCAGAAGAAAGAGGCGAGCGGAATGAGAGGGAGAGCGAGCGGAATGACGGGGAGAGCGAGCGAAGTGAGGGGGAGAGCGAGCGGAATGAGGGGGGGAGCGAGCGGAATGAAGGGGAGAGCGAGCGGAATAATAGGAAAAAGGCAATCGGAATGAGCAGGATTGCGAGCAGAGTGAGGGGGAGAGCGAGCGGAATGACGGCGAGAGCAAGCGGAGTGAGCGGGAGAGCGAGCGGAATAAGGGGGAGAGCGAGCAGAATAAGGGGGGGAGCAAGCGGAATGAGGGGGAAGCGGAATGAGGGGAGAAATGGGGAAGGGAGGGAGATAGGGGGCAGGGAAATGGGAAAGGCAGGGAGATAGGGGGCAGGGAAATGGGGAAGGCAGGGAGATAGTGGGCGGGAGTGGGTAGGAATGGTTGGAGAAAGGGAGGACTGGGGGTTGAGGATGGGTAAAGGGGGGCTCGGAGGTAGCAACGTGGAGATCCCCCCTCCCATGCTCTTTGTTTCCCCTTTTCCCCCTCCCATGCTCTCTGTTTCCCCTTTTCCCCCTCCCATGCTCTCTGTTCCCCCTTTTCCCCGTGCCGTGCTCACCGGTTCCCCCGTTCCCCATCCCATGCTCTATTTTTCCCCCTTTCCCCCTCCCATGCTCTCTGTTTCCCCTTTTTCCCCTCCCATGCTCTCTGTTCTCCCCTTTCCCCGTGTTGTGCTCACTCGTTCCCCCTTTCCCCCTCCCATGCTCTCCGCTTCCCCCTTTTCCCCCCCATGCTCTCTGTTCCCCCCTTTCCCCGTGCTATGCTCACCGGTTCCCCCTTTCCCCCTCCCATGCTCTCTATTTCCCCCTTTCCCCCTCCCATGCTCTCCGTTTCCCCTTTCCCCCCTCCCATGCTCTCTGTTCTCCCCTTTCCCCATGCCATGCTCACCGGTTCCCCCGTTCCCCATCCCATGCTCTCCGTTTCCCCCTTTCCCCCTCCCATGCTCTCTGTTTCCCCCATTCGCCCTCCCATGCTCTCTGTTTCCCATGCCGTACCCTCATCCCTTCTCCCCCTCTCCTTACTAGTTTCCCCTCTCAATCTTGTCACTCAACCCCTTGCTCAGGTGCTCTTCCATTGAACAGCAAATTCTTTTGTTCACATTGCCAATCGCTAAAAAATTAGCATGTGTGGCCAAGTTTGTGTTTTGGCTGGTTAGATACTCGGTAGAATTATTTACACCCATTCTTTATTGCAATATGTGACAGACCTTTCTCCTGCAGTGTACCAAATCTATTGTATTTTCAAGCATGTGATTGATAACATGTCCGAAGATATGTTGGTTTTGTAATGGGGTTTTACATCGTGTTATCTGTTACGTTGTATAATATGCATGTTTCAATGTGTGCAATTTGAGACCACGTCGAAGTCAAGGACAGAGCGTGTTCACAATTTGTGAACCAACCTCCGGTCTCAGCATCGTTGTATTCTCCGTTTTGTCACTTGCTCGGGTTCCTCCATTTTCGTGATCTGAGTTATGCTGCACTTCCCCACATAATCACGCCCCTGTTTCGGCTTCACTTCTGTCTCGTCATTTGGGCGGGAAATCGGGTTTGTCGCGCATGGCTTTGGGGCATGGGTCGCACACGTTCCCTTTCGACGTTTCGCCCAACCCAACCACCCGTAGGTGCGCGAATTTGAGGGTGCGTATCTGCCCAGCTGCCCCAAAACTGCCCAGGTTGTTTCACACTAGGATCCCTTTTTTTCTGAAGTGCCCCCCCTTCAAGAGGGGCTCACTTGAAGCCCCCCATTGCTATTTTAGCCTGTGGTTTTAACTTGTTCTTCAGTAATTCTGGTCAACACTTACAAGTTCTAAGACTTCCGCTGTCTTACCAGTCTACCATTCCAGTAAAGATCCTAGGTTAACACTTGAGGTTTTCCAAGTGTTCGTGTTTGCAGGTTCTATACTTAGTCTCCTGCACCACCTGTCAAATTATTACATGGTATGAGAGCTGTCTGGAACTAAGACTACTGTCAACAATGACTGGAACAACACAAGCACAATCTTCCGGATCTAATTCCGGA